TTGTTGATAAGTCGGGTGTCCGGATGCGAGCTAACGCTCCCGATTCGCAGTTCACGCTAACCGAGCGCTCTGATTGGCCAGGGTTTTTTGTTAGTAACTCCTCAACCACATCTAGGCCAACTTTCCTTACATTGTTATTCGTGTAGTTTATTATTCGTCATTTTCTTAAAACGCTTCGTATTGAGTGGAGCGGTTCACGCGTCAAAAGTCGAGCGTCCGGATTGGAAGCTCGCGTCAACCGAGCACTCTGATTGGTCGGGATTTTTTTGTTAATAACTCTTCAACCATGCGTCGGAGAACTTTTTTGCTAAGGAAAATATTGTTTAAAATTACGTGAGGAACCTCTCATTTCAGTATCTTAGTTTTGGAAAACCCTGTATACCTGGTTTTCTTTATTACATAATCAGTTACACGGCGTAGCCTTTCTCGCAGCGCACTTGAAGCAACATTTAACAGCGTCCAACCACTCCGTCAAAGTTTCCAGAAATAGGCAATGCAACGTTAGCGAGAATAGTTGTACATTTTTTTCTTTTTTTTCCGTTGCAGTTACGCGGCACACAATTCCTGCGGTCCCATAAATCTCCCGGCTTCCGCGTTGACTATACGGCACTCAGCTGTAATCGTCCATTTCGTGTTAGTCCCTCGTCTAACGCGACGGCTCCTCTGTTCGTTCGTTCGTCCGTGAACGTAGATGCATCGAGTATCGCGCGCTCTGCCTTCACGCCTCTTCCTACTTGCGCGTTTCATTCACTCCCTGCGAAATGTATGACCGACTTTTTCACCGTTGCACATCAAGAAACCATTCCTCCCACAGAGACGATGATAAACTTGTTTACACGTAGCAGTGCATTTTATTCGACGTCTCGGTATTAATGAACAAACCACTTGTTTACCGTGCGAAGTGATTAATCTTGAAAATCGAAGAAACAAGTTCGTTATTAACACTAGATTGCCCAAGGAAGTCATTTTGACTGCTTTTGGGCAAATGTACAAATAATAATGCATAAATTATTTTTTCCCAAGTGAAGTAAATTTTTATTATTGTTAATATTTCCTAATAACTTGTTATATGACTGTAAATAATATAAAAAATATTAAAAATTAATTTTAGACAAATCTCTTTACACATTATTCTTTCACAATGCAGTCATTTTGACTGCTTTGGGCAATATAGGTATATACTAAGTTTCAGTCTTTCTAGTGTTAAAATCGTTTTTAGACTCGGTGACTTGAGAACCTATTATGAGACTTAGACTGAAAACAGTCGAGGAATATATCGTGAAAAATTTAATCTGCTTGCCCGGTGAGCTGTTAGGTCCAAGTAGAACAGCAGGACTACATTAATTAGACCCACAATTACGGTAATGGGAGAGTTCGTGCGTTGCAATTATCGTACCGCCGCGAAGGCAGTTAATTAAGAGAAATTCAATTAAGCTCTTTCGGCATGCGCCGCCGTTCTAGGACCCGTAAAGGGCGCCCGAAGTCGGACTGCGCGCATCAAGCCGATTTGCGGAACCGTCGCAACTTCACTTTTTTCCATTTGCTTGTTTATCAAAAGTAGTAGTCGAGTTTTTCCTACGAAAAATTTATCTCGCCGAACATCCGTGGATCCGTACGTTCACCTGTCTGCGACTCGGGGCGCTTCTTGCGCAATCTACTCGGCAGATCCTCGAAGCTTAGCGTAATTGAAACTGTCTGGTCGCGAGCCGCGTAACGACGTATCGCGAGATAATTTCGGGGAACGAGAATCGTACAAGTCCCGTCGAAGATCGTTTAATTCTAGGATCATTTCTTGTACGAACGTTTAATTATCGAAGGATTTACCGGCAGATGTCAGTCACAAATCTATTTTTTCCAAAATGGCGGGGGGGAGAGACTGGCTGTTTCATTAGGTGCCGGAAACAAATAACACGCGTAGCGGCCAGCTTCTAACAGACATCCATTACCACTGTTCGAAATCGATAGCGGGGTGGGATGAAACATGTTTCTGGTAGAAAAACAACCGCCGAATTGGACCAGTGGCGAGCGACGTTGCAAAAACAATTTTCCGTGGAAATAGTATCGGCGATGCAGAAACGTCGGCGCTGGCAGAAATTGGTCGGTGGGGGAGCGAGGATCAGATCGAAAGGGGGGTCCCGCAAATGGCTTGTTAATATCGCGTTTCACGTGGAATAAACTGGTGCCACTGAGCGAGACGGTCGGTCACGCTATTCGCGGGGGTGGCTCGAACGTCCCTCATGGATACTAATTTCCGGGGTGTGGACACGGTCAATTAACGCGACGAGACAATTATTTACAATTACTTTTTACCGAGCGACGACATACTTTTTTTTTTAGAAAACTTCTTTCAGAACTGAACGGAATTTAAATTGTAACGATTTCGGCGTTACGCTCAACGGAGTCGAAGCGGTACTATTGGACACAATAGCGCGTGAAATTCATTAAAGCGCGAGTAGAACCGCAATTGATTCGGCTTCTCTGTGCCATTAAAATGGTTGCGGCCTCGCGTCGACGCCAGCAAGATTGAAAGCTGAACGTCGCTTGATTTGATGGATGTTCTCTTCATTCCGTACGCCGGTTAACCGCCGATACTGTGACTTATCGGTTGATTCGCTACGCGTTTTTCACGGATACTGAATAGGACAGAACAGTTTGCTGGCTGCCGTAGTAAATTTTTTAATTATTTTCTATACGTTTCTGTTTCGTTGATTTTAGCCAGCGTGGTTATAATTTATCACTGCCGTTATCATTTATTAATAGCGTCGACTGACTAATCTGATGCGTCGATTAATATCCTACGTGTTATGTTAAACCTATTAAGGTAGATTATGAACACATCGTGTAGCTTGAAAACGTCGCGAAATGCGGGGCGACAGCTGTGACATTCTTCAAGTGTGAAGTTAAAAAAGTGAAAACTCTTCAAGTCTCTATTAAATTGAAAATAGCTCTATGTATTTTTAAATAACCTCGTGTATTATCGACAGCCGGGTCAAAGTAATTATGTGAAGAGCTATCCAAGTGCCTTCTCGTAGACACGATCCTGTTTGCAGTTTTAATGACCTCCTTCGTTCCCATCACTTCTGGCGCGCCGTTACATCGGCACGAAAGATGAAGATAGTTGGGAATTGCTATGGTAAAAAAATAGTAAATTTTTTAATTATTTTCTATACGTTTCTGTTTCGTTGATTTTAGCCAGCGTGGTTATAATTTATCACTGCCGTTATCATTTATTAATAGCGTCGACTGACTAATCTGATGCGTCGATTAATATCCTACGTGTTATGTTAAACCTATTAAGGTAGATTATGAACACATCGTGTAGCTTGAAAACGTCGCGAAATGCGGGGCGACAGCTGTGACATTCTTCAAGTGTGAAGTTAAAAAAGTGAAAACTCTTCAAGTCTCTATTAAATTGAAAATAGCTCTATGTATTTTTAAATAACCTCGTGTATTATCGACAGCCGGGTCAAAGTAATTATGTGAAGAGCTATCCAAGTGCCTTCTCGTAGACACGATCCTGTTTGCAGTTTTAATGACCTCCTTCGTTCCCATCACTTCTGGCGCGCCGTTACATCGGCACGAAAGATGAAGATAGTTGGGAATTGCTATGGTAAAAAAAGTGTAAAAAAAATCGTTGGCCAAGTGTCGATCGATTTGAATATAAAATCAGTGTTTCAAGAACGACGCGGTGTTTCGTTTTAAGAATGGTGGACAATTAGTGGAACAGATGAAAAAGGTGAAGTTTTTCACTGGATTCGAGACACGTAGACGTGGAAGTTCGGTCGTGAAGAAGAACGCAGAGGTATTCCCTGGGAGACGGGGTTCGACGTTCGATCGAGAAAATCCCGACGCGACTGCTGAAGTGGCTCCTACCAAAGTACTTGGCGAACCGTGCAAACGGATTTCCAAAGTGAGTTTACGCGCGGAAATGACTGTATACGAATGAGCGGAGGCTCGGCGCGACCCGCCAATTCCGTGAAAGCTACGGGCAGAGAAGTACCGGCGGGATGCTGAAACGGCAGTTGTTTGAGTTCCAATTTGCCTTTAATAATTGCATTCGATTAATATTCATTGGAATGCAAAACGGTCCTGTAAAGCGGTAAATCCAGCATCGGTGGACGTACCAAGCGTAGCTACGTGCACGCACAATCCACCGGCAAAGAAAATGCAAATTATTTTTCATATCCCGGGACTCAAATCGCGGTTTTTTATCGATCGATTTAAATCGCTGCGCACTCAATTTCTAATCACCTTTCGATTAAACAATAGAGAAAAAAAACTAGAATTTTAACAATAAAACAAAACGTGTATATAGTGTGCGAATTACATGATTGCCAACGACGTGGGATCGATGTATGCTCGATTAATAAGATTGCACAGCCCCCCCCTCGCGCCATCCATCATTTCCTCGGAGTTTACTCAGTCAACGGTGAATGTCACAGAATGGAAAGATTACGTGAACGTTTGCCAGGCTTGTCAAACTTATAAAAAAAGAACGACAGACATAATGAATTTATCGTTTCCGACGATCGTCATAGTCTGTTAATATCGCGTGTTAAAATTGACACGTTGAAATCGACAGACGAATCGAGCAAGTTTAAACGTGAGCGCACGTAAACTTGCAAACGATGCCGCGAAAATGAAACGAAACGTGACTAGAACCTTGCAACGTGGGACAGAAAACAATTGAGTATCGGTGAATCAGCTGGCGGATTGTATGTATACATTCGTAAGTAGAATGCACATGGAACCAGAAACGTTTTGTCAATACGAGAATCGTTATTCGATCCGTGAACGAAAGTACACAATGACGATGGAATTAAAGGAAAGAGCAACGCGATCACGATTTGTTTCGCACTGATCTTTAATTCTTAAAGCGATGTACATATGTACCTTTACGAACCACGTCGGCCAGGGATCACTGACTCTGCTCCGGTCTTCCGTGGAAATCACTTGCACGAGGATATTATAAGAACAGTTCGAACAAATCACCCTCCGTTATGAACGACAACTATCTCTCACAGAATTATTCACTGCCACGGGATTGTCTTCGGTTCGTACGTGTTCCACGCGAACTATCCATCTGTCCGGTTGACGGTTCTCCCGGCTGTTAAAAACGAGAATAAACGTAAAAATAACGACGACGCGACGATGCGATTTACGGTACGTCGGTCCGGGCACGGGCAGCGAACGCCTGGCCACGGTACTACGTCAAACGGGAGCGGAAGGCAAACTGGACCGAGCGACGGAGTCTGGCAGCTTTGGCAGCTGCGTGTTCGGTCTGGTGCCGCTTTCGCCGGCAACGAGGACGGGGGCCACGGCGACGACGCCGACGCCGACGCCGCTGGTAGCAACGATACGGTGGCGCGACGTAGGAACCGCCGACGCCGGTTGAAGCGCCCTCATCTCGGCCAATTCCGCACCAATATTCCCTCCCGACCTACCTACACCCACGCCGATTCTCCCCCTCTTCCTCCCGATCGTTCTTTCCCGCTTTCATCCCTTTTCCAGCATCCCCTCTTCGCCGCCCCCTTCCCCCCTCCCCGTTGTTCCAACGTAGTCTCCCGTTCCCTACGCTCGGTCCATCTCTCTCGCGCTCGTGTACCCCTCGCAAGCTCTGCCCCCCACTACCATATCGATCCTACGGGAAAGGCCTTGTATGCCGCGTTCCATTTGCTTCGGCCGTGAGCACAGGCTACGAATCGCTCTCTTGTACCGACTCGCTATTTGTTGGTGAAAAGAGTCGACCTGTCGACGTCCGATGCCCCGCTTCAATGGACCCTCGCTCCCCAGTGACTGACGAGAGATGCTGCCGTGAATCAGGCGTTGAATTTTAATCGTTACTCCCGATTCATCCAGTCTGTTTCGCGACGCGCCGAAGGCCTCTTTGCAGCTGATGCCGTGCTTTCTGCATTTTGTCACGACTGCGAGGGGCTTTTGTTTCCGCCGGGGAAAATTCGAAAGAGCATCGCGAGCCAAGTGTTCTCCAGGGGAACCAGCGACTTGGGCAACAACGGTTTTAACATGGACTGGCTAAATCATTCAGAGGCTTCTTTAAAGTCGTAGGAGACGAGTCAGTCGGACTCCGGGGATCCTCGCTTGAAAATGTATTGAAATAAAACTAGGCGAACCGATAGTGTCCTTTAGCTTTAGGAAATTGTTATTAATACTGTTGGAGAGGGGTGGATAGGGTTACCAATTTCAGGGACGATCCGGTTTCAGTTATTCTCCGCTCCCTGTTGGCCATATAACTTTTACGTAGAATCAACATCGCTGTCTTAATCCAAGTCTCCCTGCAACAACACGTGGCATCATTTTCTCATTTGAAGACCTTGGAAGTTCCTCTGTTAATACGAATGATTTGGGAATCTTACGATTCTCAATTTGTCATATATAAATGAAATAAATGAAATATTAGGATTTTAAAACAGGACAGATTTGTCTTCGAAAAACCCGCGACTTGGTTCAGTTAAGCTAGATTAGGTTAGGCTAGGTTATTGTCTTATTGTTTAAAAGAGACAGAGAAGATCCTTTAGATTAGATTAAGTTTTGTAATGCCTGGACAATACTTTATCGAACAGTTAACTTGAATAAATAAGATATTATTAGGATTGTAGAGCAAGAGAGATTTGTCTTTGAAAAACTCGCGACTAGGTTAGGTTGAGTCAAATTAGGTTAGTTTAGTTCAAGTTTTGTAATGCCTGGGTAATACTTCATAGAACTATTGATTTAAATAAATAAGATATTAGTAGGATTTAAGAACAGAAGAGATTTGTCTTCGAAAAACCCGCGACTTGGTTGGGTTGGGTTAGATTAGGTTATTATTCTTTTAATGAGGCAGAGAGACCCACGGAGGTCTAGATTAGGTTAGCTTGAGTTAAGTTTTGTAATGCCTGCACTTCATCATGAACAGTTGATTTAAATAAATAAGATATTAGGGCTTTAGAATAGGAGACCTTTGAAAAAACGATGTTGAGTTAGGTTAGGTTTGATAATGTCTGGACAAGAATTCATCGAGGAATTGATATAAATAAATAAGATATTAAGATCTTAGAACAAGAACGATTTGTCTTGGAAAAAACCGCGATGAGGTTGGTACTGAATTGCGGAATCGAATCTTCCGGGGATTGTAAAGTAAAAGTGGGAGAGAACGATACGTCCGTGAGTAAAGATTCCGAAGAAAAGTCGAGGATCTGTTTCCTCTGAAGGAACATCGGACGCTTCCGTAAGCAACGAGCAATGAAACTCAGATCGTTCGTAAAATTTCAGAGGTAGGATCGATCGAAGACGTCCAATCAGAAAGCTGGGAAATGTAACAACGTTCGCAATGGCTTATAAATTTCGTTTCTTTATTTTCTCCGACCGTTCGGAGAAAGACGTGTGCGCGATATGAAAACATATTTCAGGTCCGACAGCTGCGAAGGATAAACTCTAATTACTACGTTAACTGGCTGTTTTCGTTGAGTTTCTTCGAAACTCGATGAGTTTCGAGATGGATTTTTTAAAAATTCCCTGCGCCATCTCGGAGAATCGAAGTAATCGAAGTAACCGGGCCAAAAAAAGTTGTCCGTACACGTCCGAAAAATTGTTGATAACTTCGCGATGATCCCGGGGTGAAATCGATTCGGTGCCGATTCAATTCTGCAGGGAGGAAATTCGAACGACAGCGTCGTCGGTCGAACGGTCGTAGACGAAAAGAGGACGGCGCGGAGGCTGGAAGAGTGGGGCGGGGG